GTTCTGGAAAAAAAATTTTGACTGATGAAACCAAGATAACCTTGATGAAACTGCTCGGGATCTAAAGCGGACTGCATCATCTATCAAACATGGTGAAGGATGTTGTGCAGATGTGTGGCTGATAATAGTTCATCAGTGTTTATTGATGATGTGACTGCAAAGAAGCAGCAGGATGGCTTGTGAAGTGTACAGGGTTACAGTCTCTGCTCAGATTCAGACAAATGCTCCAAAACTATCTGGACAATGATTTAAAGTGCAAATGGACAATAAACCAAAGCAAAACCTTTAGAAATTTGAGGAAAAATGTTTGATATTGCTAAACAATTATTGCAATACCAGTCTGAATGAATCCATGGAGGCAGTATGAAGAGGCAACACTATAAAAATTATGAAATATTGTGTGTTGTCCGACAAATTAGGGACCTAACTGTAACCATGTGCCAAAAAATGAAAAAAGTTGTCTCCAGGATCAGAACAGGATGAAGACAGCCATGCTGTCACAGCTCATAGGAGCAGCTGAGAACATGAATCCAGCCAAATTGATATTAATAATCTACTACAAGAAGAATTGCATGTACACTCCGGGAATTTTTCCACTGGTGATGTCGGACTTTCATCATGTCATAGACTTTTCTCGGATTATCCAAAGTGACACATGATGGGTTTCACAGAAGAACGAGCTTCATGAAAAAATGAATCTCTGAAAATTTCAGAGAGCTCTGACAAAATCACACATGACAGCAGAAAGATCCTCAAAGAGAAAGCGTGTCAAGAAATCACATAAAAAAGGGGCAAAAGAGGCAGAAGGAATAGTCGGATGACAATTAGAGTGAGCCTTGGAGCAGTGGGCAAAAGATCCCCAAGGGGGAGGTTTGTGCCTGTGATGGAAAGTGAAGGAGTTTGAAGGTTACGCCACAGCTTTGCAACGACTTTCACTTTCAGCCTCATGAAAACAGGGATCTGGTTAGAACAGAAACAGAAGCACGGGAACTCTTTTCATTCTACATTTTATCTCACCCATCGGGGGCCGATATCTTCCACCCAGCCTGTGATTTCCTGCTTCTGTTTATAAATTCAGCCACACTGTTCCATAACACTTTTTTTAAACTATGATATATTTTAGGACTACGTCACGCCGACTATTTTAGGCTTTAACATGTGACTGCACGCTGTGAAACACTGAGATGGTGTAAAAGGATGGAGCATACACAGACATGCACGCACACACTGTAACGTGATGATATTTCACAGTTAATTTGTGAAACAGAAGAAACAAAGAAGAGTTTAAGGGCTTTGCGCGTCCTCTTTAAAGACCTGTTCTGCAAAGAGGGGCCGCGAGCTACTTTTGGCTAAATTATTGTGTGAGCTTTGGGTCTCTAATCAGCTTTTTGATGCAAAATCCTTTTGCATTAGCAAAGGATTCAACAGAGATCATTCTCCTGACTACAATTTATAGGGTGTTGAAGTAAATAAGGGCAGGATACCCTTTAAAAAATGATATGTAGTACTTCACCTGTCAAAACATGACTGATATTATTGTAGGAACTGAGCAAATGTGCAAAAATTAAAAAATAAAATAAAATGACTTAAACTAAAAGTGCTTTTATATGAACTGTTCTCTTTTTGGTTTAGGATCCATCTGCCCGTACCCTCAGCAAACATCTGCTGTTTGTGTTGCTATTTTTGCAGTTATGGAAATGGAGATAAGACTCTTTCGCATGCTGTGGTTTAGATCAGAGATCATTTGTGTCTGTGAAAACAGGAAGAACATTGCAACCACATTCAGTCGCTAGGATTTGGCTCTTCCCCCCCCCCTTTTTTTCTCATGTTTAAACAGCTGTAAGCAGCACCGATCTGCACCACAAAAGCTCGAATCTCGCAAAATCTTTTTTTTTTCCTTTCGTTTGAGCTCGTACAAATCCAGCCACGATTACGAGTGTTTGAACACTGAATTATCTGGGCTTGTGCACAACACGAAACACTAGAGGGAGGTTTGATGCCGGAGCTGCTCTGTTCTTCAGGTGTGGGTTGGTTGCTGTGTGATCTGGGGTCAGTTAGCAGCCTGCTGCAGGAAAGAAACTGAAGAGACGAGAAACTGTGGTTTTCTTCATTTCATTCCAGCAAGTGCAATACTCTTAAAGTGCTCCTGAAAAGAAAACAGCTTTTGAAAGCTGATTTGTATTTGCTGCTTCCATCCAGCAGAGAGAGCACAAGATCAGAGCACAGCATTTAGTCCCGTGCAGTATCAGGACTTCACAGGACTTCAATATCTACAGCAGATCAGGGGCTCCAAACAAAAAATTATCTTTTTGGCACAGAAATGCTTCACTGAGACAAATGACGCCTCCGTCTGTGTGCTGTGTTACAGAGGTCAGAGCGCTCTTGTGGAGCTGCTCATCTGCAAGTGCGTGCATGCACCTTTCTGGTTTTTGGTTGGAAACGTCTGCACGCAGACTTGTGTACGCCTGTGTTCTCATAGGTGTCTGTGCGTGCTAATTTTGGATGTGGCTGCAGGGAAAGCAAGTCTCCCGTGTGTGACAGAGCCACTGATCATTAGTCACTCTGCTCCACATACCGTAGCGAGGAAGAGTGGAGGAGAGGGAGGAAGATGGAGGAGATACAGAAAGGTGGAAAGAGAGTGAAAGTGTCGTTGTGTGGATGCTGCGATTTAAAGTCTGAAGTTAAACACATAATGAGAAGCCTCGCATCAGCTCATTTGTTTCTCTAAACATGGTGCATCATCAGCCCACTGCTTCCTTTGAAACATTATCTATCACATCCGTCACATGTTGCAGGAAACTTGCAAGAAAAAGTGTGATTCTGTGCCACGGGGCGCTTATTTTTGCATCCTTTATTTTTACTGATGTGAAATTGCAACAAGCGCTGTTTTCGCATCGTTAAAAATCGTTCTTCTTTACTCTCTCTGTGGTGCGAATCAAACCCCAAACAGAGAAGGAGGAACCAGCACCAGACATGCAAAACTGCTGAGCTGACCACTCACTTTTGTGCAACTTACATCTATTCCCTGTAACCAGAATCAGAATCACTTTTATTGCCAGGGTTGTACATAAATGAGGAATAGGAGAATAATGTTTTTAATTACAATAAAACCTGATAGGATACAAAACAAAACTGTTCTGGAAGTTGGTTTCTGTGCGAGTCCACAGAAGCCAAGCCCTACCCCAGTATTTCAGTAACATATAGTGCAATTTATCACCTTTGTCAACTGCAAATTACGTCCTCAAACTTAAACTTTGTCAGCAACTGTTTTATCCAATAAGATGAAGTCACGCCACGTTGGGTATTTATTGGCTTAACAATGAGACTGTCAAGAAAACCAACAGGTCAGAAAAGGCTACCATAAATGTTGCAATAAGTTGGAGTCAGTCTGTCTGTTTCCTATAACACAGCAACTAACTGTGGAAAACTGTTAAAATATAGTTATGGATTTTATTTGTGGTGTTGTATTTTCAGATTTTCAGACACGCAGTTGAAAGACTAAATAATGACCCTTGTATCAGGGTTTTTCCCCACGTCCCACACACCTGGTCAGGTGACTGTTCTTGGTTAGGGAATCTGGATTTCCATTAAGCTTTCAAAGTGCTTTCATATTCAAGAGACAGAAACAGCAGATTTGTGAAGATGTTGAACTCTGAAGCAGCCTTGGTGACTCAAACAGGCTGCTCGCTGAACTCCAGGAGTAAATGTCCCGGTGGCTCCCCCTGTCCACTGGGTGGAAGTCTACACTCCATATGTTCAAGCAAGAAAAGGTTAATCACTGCAGTGAGGACACAGACGGATTTAAGGGGTTCATTAGTGCACTAGCAGTAGTGCACAGTGGAGGCCGGAGTACAGACTGTCCAGTCTGTGGGGCTCATTCATTTCTGTTGATGTGTGTGCAGGTTCTCAAAGCTTTACTGTTGGACACCTTTAGTTCAAATAAAGCAGTAGAAACATGTGTTCACAGTAGCTGTCCATATGTGGTCAAAATACCTGACCAGTCCTTGATGATTGGTCCCCAAGGTAAGGCAGATTCAAGGTGGTACCCAAGTCACTTCTCAGGGACCTGAGGATGGATGTTGTGTTTTTTCCTGAGGTAGATAAGTCGACCGAGCCGTCTGGAGAACCTGCTGCTTCCAGGAATCAGTGTAAACCCAACTAGCTGGCACGCTTAGATGCTGTTCTTTTTCTTTTTTTTGTGATCTCATTTTTATCGCTATTTGAACAAAAATTGTCACACATTCGTAAAACCACAGAGAAAGATTAAGAAAATGACAAACCCACAGGAACCAGAAATAGAGGAATGAAGCAACATAGACGAGGAGAGTGATAAGCAACATCGATAAACGTTAGCTCTGATGATGATTAAGCAAACCATCTTTCACGTCGGCAAAAATGCGCTTCTGGGTTTTGTGCAATGACAGCTGATGCAAATAATTTAAAGTCAGGATAGACGGAGACCACGGATAAGTAATATCTCCAACCACTCTGCAAAAAAGTGGAGACTCCAGTGCATTCACATACTACACC